CAAATGTGACAATTTAGAACATAAAGATGAAAAAATGAGACCATGTCACTGAACGCATGGGCCTGGCACAGAAGTAATTTTCCTTGGGAACTACATTTGCCTGCAGAGAAATTGAAAAATTACACTCTGTGAATTCTAAATTGTTTCATTTTTCTTTCTGAGGTCAGTGATCATGGAGATTTTTTATTTTCTACACTAAGCAACAGCTCCAAGCTTTATTGTGTGTGATTACGTGCAGTTACAACAGGCAAAAAAAAAAAAAAAAAAAAGCCTTCTTGGCAAACTTTCATTTAATAGGGCCTCCCCCAGTGCTCTAAGATTAGTGCCAATCACTAAACTCACCATTTCCCCCCAACTATGTTCAAGGTGTAGAAGCCACACCTCTCTTGATCTTGCCACCTACTCAGGCAGCTTCTAAATCATTGAATAAAGAGTAAAAGTCCAATAATACAAATGGATTAGTCTGAATTCTCTTCATAAAATGAACAGCTGAGTGAATTAGATGCTTGCTACATTAATGTGCCTGTCTTCTTAGTGTGATAAATACACAGGTCAATTTTTACTTCTGAAAAGGAAAGAGACTCTTTCACAAATTTTTGGGCTTGGTGCCGACTTAAATACTCACATTCACACATACAACATAAAACTTTATCAGTCTGGGATTGTTGTTAGGTAGCCATGTGTCCTAGCCCCTTTCCTCTTTTAAATTTTAAATACTGCCAAGGAACCCTGTGAGGCTCCTACACTTGGGATGGAACCTTCTCGGTGGAATTCTGACACCCTATTAATTAGTGGTTATGAGTGGGAGCTGCTCTCTCTCAGCAACTCCTATTCTGCCATCAGTCAAGTGTGATTCTGTAATAAATTTCCACAAAGCAAACTATTTCTGGTAATTCTCCCTAATTAACACCAGGCCTGCTAATAATACATCAGTACCTATGTGTTTCTGATATAACCAAGATCTTGTCTGAGAGTACCCAAAAAGGGAAACTGCCAGCCTAAATTAAGCTTCTTCTAGCAAAAAGGATTTTATATGTAGTTCTGTAAGAAAACCTTTGATAATCTTATATTGGGGATATTTTGACCACAAAACACTGAGCGACAGGGAGGCTTGTTCTGGTTTGAGTCCTGAATGGGGATTTATTGTGAACACACAGTGCTGAGTCTTAAGCCTATAAATCTTGTACTGGATTACTGTTTCTTAACGAAGGAATGACAGATCTCTTATTTTGTCGGTGCATTTTAATGTGCAATGACGTGATTGATAGAAACCAAACAGCAGCTATTAAAATGTCAGATGCAGACTTGATGCCCTTAAAAGTTTGGCTTCTGGAGTTTAATATACTGTGAGCAAATAGACTTGAGTTTGTTTTTTATTCCTAATACACAGCCTGAAACAGAAACATTTCTCTCAACTTTCTACAGTTGGGCAAAAATCTTAAACAAATAAACAAACGAGGAAGAGATGAGCCTACCTAGTTATGGAATAGTTAGCTAATGAGATTGGGATGAGTTAAGCATGAAGTAACTTACCCTGGTTAATGCAAAATGTAGATGATGAGTTAATGTTGTTTGAATACGATGACACAGTACAATGCTTAATATGATAGGTTATTCCAATAAACAAGTTGAGCAGTAAATATGTTTTAAAATATAACTTACTTACTCACATATATTTATTTTGTACAGTCTACATAAAGAACATAAAAATAGAAAGAAGTAGAATAAATGTGACAGTGTTTTCAAATGTCTTGTTTCTGGGACATTTTGATAGACAAGGATCATAAAAGAGGAATTCTTCTGAATATTACTACCTCTCATCCTATCCTGTGAATATGGAGCATGTCTTTGTCAAGGTGACTTTTAATGGAAACATCTACCACCCACAAAGAAAAACCGAGAGAGCCTGTCTCCATCACTGCAGTCATTTATTTATTGAGTATGTGCACAAAAGGTATTACTTTACTGATTATATTTCTCTCATGATTTTTAATTAGAAAATGTATCCAAAAGCAAAACAGCACAGATAAATACAAATTTTAAAAAGTTAAGGAACAGAAGTTAGAATTAACAGGTAAGGCAAATGATACATTGAGAACCTAAATCTAATACCTTTAAACATTTGGGGCAAAGTGGGAGGGGGACACACTGCAGACAGATTAGATTTGTATAAAACTATCCAGTACATTTTTTTCTTAGGTCAGAAAAGTCTCCCCCTTCAGCAGAATGACTAAACTGCAAATGTCATGAAAATGTTAATATAATGATAAATGTACACTTAAACAGGACAAAGGAAAAATTCTTTCCTATAAAATGAATGGACCTAATATAGTACCCCTTGAAGTGGTATCATGAACGTATTTTTTGTTGTAGGAAAATTTAAACTATGCTGCATTATTTTGAAAATGGAAGCTCTTCCTTTGTTTTAATACTGTAACTATCCCAAATGATTAGGTTTACTCTTAGATTCTAAATGTAACCTCAATTCATAGAACATATGTATGTGTATTCATAAAACAAACAGAGAATTTTAGGTTGCTACTTCAACAAGCAACATTCAATCCCTGTAAGCCTACAGAAATATTATAAATCTGAACCTATTACTAAAATTTTGAAATTGGGAAATCCAAGTAGGGGAATTTTTAGAATGATTTACTGTGATTCTGATATATGTTGTATCAAATACAGCATTCCAAAATATACATCTAGAGAGACTAAAAGTAAATACAGTGAAGAAGCAATAATAAAAAATGCTGACATGGAATATTTATACTCAGAAAAATAAATATTCAGGGAGCTCACCAGAAGAATAAAGTGCTCTGCCAGTTATTAAAAGATTAACGTTTGTCTATTAAATATGTCATTCCCCGTTGGAAGATACAGAGATTCTTCTGGGATATGTTAAATATTTATTTCACAGGATTAACTGTTTTAACAAATAAAAAGCTTTGCCACAGAAAAGGGAGGCAAAACACAAAGACAAAATGATAAGTTAGGAAGCATCATTATCTTTTTAGGGATATAATTTGGAGAAACACAGTATTATGCTCCATGAATAATACGTAGAAAGAAAGGTCTAATAGAAATGAAATCCTTAATGTAAGATAACATTCTAAGAAACCCAGGTCAAATACAATTCTTTGAAGAAAATACCCACATGCCATTGACTTATCAAATACTATCTTGGCAGAAAATTTATAAAGGCAAAACTAAACAAAAAAATCTTTACCACACCAAAACAAAACCACCAAATTATTGTTTTAAGCAAAAGGCTGGCACTAAGGTATGTGACAATGCACATCAGCCAGCATGTCTTCAGTAGGTGGTTGCAGCAGCAATGAGAAATAATGCACGATCAGTTCCAGCACGTTGTTTCCAAAGAAACCTCCTGCCTCTCTACAAGATGCAGGATGAGTTTTGAGTTGCTCTTGGTGGAGGGTTCAGACTGCCACTTTGTGTCCTCCTTTCCATTCTTTTATCCTCAGTTAATTATTATCTGAATACGATATAAATCTGCTAGACCACAAATTAACAGCTTTCAGGACAAATGCCTTGGACGTTCTTAGGGAGGTTAAAGAAATATGGTCTCTGAAAACCTCCCTCTACAACAAACATGCACACAATGGAAACAAAATTGTTAGCGTGTGATGGTGCAGGAAGGACTTTGGGCTTTGTCTCAGCTTTAAAGGCACATTACCCCAAACAGATTTATAATTTAGTGGGATTATGGCTTTTCATTCATTCTAGAAACAAAGAAAAAAATTATCAAATGCCATAATCTGTTTTCTCATTGGGCAAATATCAACAGGATCCATGATTTTACTTCACGTATTTCTCTGTCCCCATGTGGTATCTACATAATTCTGTCCCTAGTTAGGAAGACATAATGGGTCAATATGAATAATTAATCATGTTCCCATTCTACACTACAAAACCTCTGTGAATAAAAGCTTTCCAAATTTCATGATTACACTGGAAGTAGTTGACTTAGTATTGAGAGAGAACTACCAAAAAAGAAAATAAAAGAAAAAATATCTAGATTTTATCACATGTATAATTCAATATTCTGGTTATGTTTCTAACATAGAATTAAAGAAAAAGAAAAAAGATTATTCTATGAAGAGTGTCAAACCTTTATCTTGTCTACAATAGTACACCTTTGAAACTAATTTAACTGATTCATCGCCTGCAAAGAGGGAAATTACTCTCTTTTGGGTACAATCATCTGATTTACCATAAATTCCCAACCACACTCTCTTCTACTTATTCTCTTTAAAGAGAGTGAAAACTAAATTTCAGAGCCCAAGTTATTTAATTGGCCCTTTACATCAGCATAAGGGAAGAGGAAAAAATGGAGTTTGAATATTACAGGTGAATGAATTATATATAATGAATAGAAACACTCATAGTCTTAAAAGGCAAAACTTTGAGATTTATAAGTTATCTGTTACCTTTTGGGGGGAGATGACAGAAAAATGTAACATCACTTCTAAGCATTACATTTTGATAAAAAAATTTCATTGGAAAAGAATTTCATTGGTCTCTCTTATTAGAATGATAAACTGTAAGGGGAAAAAAGTATATATATATTTTTTAAAAATTGACACCTACTTTTGATAAAATTCTGTTTAAACTCTTAAGGGTTTTAAAGATAAACATCTATCACTTAGTTTTTAATATAGTTAATTCTCTTACTGAAAAATGTGTAAAGCATTTTTTGTTACCTATTAGAGATTTACTCAAAATTATCTAACAAGGAAAGAAAGTATAATTATTTCATCATAGAGGGTGAAGTTTTTATTTTAAAATTTAATTCTTCACTAATTTATTCTAAGAGTAATTTAATAGTCAACCAGGAAATTGGTTTTTATAAAAGCTATTTTATGGGCAGAAAATATAGAGGGGAAAAAAAAGTAGTAATAAATGCCAAACTGTCTCTTTACTTTATGAAGCCAAATATTTCCTCATAGACATGCTTTTTAAAACTGGAACTTATCCCTTCAGGGCCACTATTATTTTTCAAAACTCCATATAAATATTATATCTAAAAATTAATTGGTAATTTAAATTCTCCTCTTTCTCATCAAATTTCTTCTCTTCTCCTAAACTGTTGACTTTTAAAAATTCACAGAATGAGCATGTTTCTTGCAAAGTGGCTTGTCCTTCTTGGAGAAAAAGGTCTGACCTTCCAAACTTTCACAACACACCTGAAAAAGAAGCATTATTTAAGAGAGTATCATTATTGTATCAAGTGCATCTGCCTAAGAAGGGGAAGGTGATTTTTCCCCCAATGGATAATATGACAAAACACTTTAGTTGACTTATGTTAGACATCCTCATATTTCATGAGTATGACATTTCATGTAATCTTTCAAAAGCAAGGTAGAATGACTTTTTTCTGGAATGTATTCTAGTTTAAATCACTAATCATTTTTCTTTAGTGAAATGGAAGCGTTTAACTCTAAGGAAAAATTAACACTTAAAGAAGTCACATTAAATATACTTTTTCTCTGTAAATTCTAATTAATACTTTGAATTTGCTTCCTATTGTAGAGAATGAAAGCATGCAAAACAAAAATTCAATTCAATTGCTTTGCTAAATGTTCTCAAGACCAACTTTATCCTTCCTGCAAATATACAGACATGGGATACTGGTACATCTTTTTAATTTGTTTCTTTGTCTCTTATAGTTTTCACTATAAGAAAACATCTGGCTGCTGGACAATTATATAATCAGTTAACTATTCACATTTATGTCTTGTCACTCCTACTGCCTTTGTTAATTATAATGCTGATACGCAGCTCTAACAGAGAACAGGGAGAAGGAAAATCACCTCAATGTAGTTTTTTTTTTTTTTTTAAATAGATTTAATGAAGTAAGGGATGGATGAGGAGCTCTGGTAGCATAGTGCCTAAGGCACTTGACTGCTAACCAGAAGGCTGGTGGTTCAAACCCACCAGCCACTCCTCAGAAGGAAGGTTGGGCAATCTACTTCCACAGCAATACCACCTTGGAAACCCAAGGAGGGTTCGCTGTGAGTCGGGGCTGACTCGACGGCACCTAACAACAACAAAGTATGGATGAGATAAATAAGACAGGGTTCAAAGATAATGTTTGCGAAAATCATTTGACTTTAATTAACATTGTTTTGTTCCTAACATACAATGGATATAGAAAATTGTTAGCTATATGAACTCTAAGGAGCTCTGGTGGCACACTGCCTTAGGCATCCTGAGTGCTAACCAGAGGATTGGGTTCAAACCCACAAGCTGCTCTGTGGAAGAAAGATGGGGCAATCTACTTCCGTAAAGATTTACTGCTTCGGGAACCCAAAGGGGGTCGCTATGAGTCGGAATTGACTCTATAAGCAGTGAGGTTTTTCTGGGGGGCTGCGGGGTATATTAGATCTATTAAAAAAGCACACATCTGAACAAAATACCCTTACTAGATATATATTTTCTAACTTAATTAAAAAAACCCAAAACGCTTAGGTTAGGTTAATGTTAATCTCTAAATCTATCTTTAGTATTAAAAATAAAGTCAAAAATAATAAGTATCAAAAGAAACAAACCAAAAAACCAAACTAACTGCTACTGAGTTGATTCCAACTTATAGTGACCCTATAAAACAGAACAGAACTGCCCCATAGGGTTTCCAAGGCTGTAAATCTTTATGGGAAAAGATTGATACATCTTTCTCCTGCAGAGAGGCTGGTGGCCTCAAACCACAGACCTCTAGGTTAGCCGTTGAGTGCTTAACCTCTATACCAGCAGGGCTTCTCATCAAATGAAACAGGTAACTGTTTTACCAAAAAAAAACAAAAAAACAAAAAAAACCAAACTCAGTGCCGTTGAATCAGATCCGACTCATAACGACCCCTTCTTGGGTTTCTGAGGTGGTATCATATGGAAGTAGATTGCCCAACCTTCCTTCTAAGGAGTGGCTGGTGGGTTTGAATTGCCAGCCTTCTGGTTAGCTACACGTTTATTACAGGCTCAAAAAGAAAATAATATTCATGCTCTATTACTAAGGACTCTGAATATTCTTTTCTCTTTGAGCCTGTAATAAACATGTGGTAAAATATTTACCTATTTCATTGTTATGAAGGAAATGGATCAACATATGGTTTACTTCCAGTGTTAATTCAACATCAGATTTTTATAACTGTATACTTCTACTTTAGTAAGTACTTACTGTTTCCTAAAACTACAAAATCTCTCCTTACATAATAAAATGGAGCTTGAAAAAAGTAAAGGGATCTTATTGTTTTAAGAAATATGTATCTTCTCTTTATAGACAAAATGCATTAATAATACTGTTTTCTCTAAAGGGGTATTTTATTGAATGCCAAATAATTTTTAAAAGTACCAAAAATGTTAATAAAAAACTTTTAAAATCACTGTAAAAATATTCTTTTCTTAAAGTTTGAAGAAATGAATTATATATAAGAGCTGACATTCCAATTAATTAAGGAGCTCTGGTGCTGTAATGCCTAAAGGCATTCGACTGCTAACCAGAAGGTTGGCGGTGCAAACCCACCAGCCACTCTGTGGAAGGAAACTGGGAAATCTACTTCCATAAGGATTTACCAACTTGGAAACCCAATGGGGGTTGTTATTTGTCAGAACTGACTTGATGGCAGTGAGTTTGTTTTTTTTTCTTTTTTTGGTTTATTCTCACTGATTAGCTAGAACTGGCTGTGTTGTGTTCCTTTAATTAGGAAATAGAGTTTACTTACTGAGCATACAAAGCAAGTGTCATGCCAGGTATAGCCCAGAGCTTCCAGGAACATGTCTCCAGCTTCTATGGGAAATTCACACCCACGGCATATGGTACCAAATAGAGCATAATAATCTGTATTGGGGGGGACAAAGGAGAAACATAATTTATACATGACAAAGCAACACATCTATCTATTCATTCACTCACTCCAATTCACCTAACAAACACCTGAACATGCACAATTTATACATAAGGCACACTCCTGTTTTGTTTTGAACTCCTAACTTGGTACATACCTAAGAACTTCAAGATCTTATATCAGTTTACTATTCTAGAACCAAAAGAACCTGCTATTTTAAAAATAATTAAAAAATACATTTGAAGTGCCATAAAAAATTAGCTGATGTAAACAAAAGTAATAGGTTTTAGAAATATTAGCAAAGCTGCTTAAAATTTCAAGAATTCAAGGACTAAAGTTAGGTATAGGTTCAAGCTATTTTGCATTGTTAAATAAAGGAGAGAGGACCTAATCATTTAAAGAGATGTTATGAAAGTGTACACATCTGACTCCTCTATTAGGCTGCTAGGCTCCTGAGAGCAGGTACAGTGACTTTCTTCCTCTTTGTATTCCATGCCAGTATTAGACTGCATGTAATAAATACTTACTGAACTCAAGTGAAATACAAAAGTGTTGTAAATGTTTACTTGGCCCACACTCAGCACTGCGAAATTCCCTTATTGTAAATGTGTCCATAAAGCTTTTTTTTTGTTGTTGAGTTTCATATGAATATACTTTAGAATGACAGTTCTAGAAAGCAGCAACACATTTCAGATTAAATGAGATAGTACGTGTGAAAAATCTTGGTAAACTGCAAAGCTGTATTTATTTCTCCATGTAACCAATAGAATAAAATAAAGATTCTAGTAATTAAAAATTTTAAGGAAATGGCATACTATAGCTTGAGACATTTGTTTAGGATGTTTCAAGTTGACCTTGATAAAAGATATTTACATACCTTAATTTTTTTTTTTTAAATTGTGATTTGGGTGAAAGTTCACAGAGCAAATTCATTTTCCATACAACAGTTCATACACCTTTTGTTTTATGACATTGACTGCAATCCCCACAATGCATATTTTTATTATTCTCTTCCAAGTAATATTCTCACTTCTTTCTAACTACTTAAATGCTCAAACATACGTGAAGAACAACTGATAAGGTATTGCTAGACATGACAGTTTAAAAAAAAAAAAAAAGGCATCAGAGGATTTCCAATGAAATAGAAACAACAAGACTAATTACCATAAACCAGGACACTGGCAAATCTGACATTGGCAGATTTCAAAATGTATCTGTCTTCGTAAGAAATAGAAAAGTTACAGGAAACTTCCATGAATAAGTGACATGATTGAGTTTCTAGTTGGACAATATTAGCCACAATTTCTTTTGCTGTATTTTCCTTTCAATTTTATGACTTCATGTGGAAAATCTTTAGCCAGAACTTTACACAGATTGCAGTTATAAAACACTCCTCAAGAAAGCAGTTCAACAAGATGTCTCTCTGCTATTACTAAGTTAGAACTGATCAGCATTTTACTTTCCTTTATGCAGATACTCTCATTGGTTTACCTTTCTTAGCTATCTTCAACTTCTGAGTTCCTTAGTACAGTTGCTCAGTACATATCCATAGAGCCCTACTGTGTTTCAGGCACTACTTTAGGCACCATGCCGTACAGTGATAAAGACGTGTGATTGCTCTTTCATGTGGTTTATATTCTCAGTGGGAGGGCCTTTCTTAGCCATTGTCTTTGTGACTCCTGAGAGATGACTGGGTGGGACTGTGCAAATGTGAAGTGCTTGTGGCCCACCATTGGGACTGGAGAGCTTGTAAATAATGTAAGTAAGGGGCATGGCACCTCTGTGGGGTGGGAACATACAAATAATATATATGGAACCCCTAACGTGGGAAATGGTCAACGTTTTGCCATCTCCTAGGCTTAAAATGAGCCATTCCAGAGGCAGAAAGGGGGAACCCCCTACCATGAAGAAATAAGAGCTAGGAGTGGAGCATGTTCTTTGGACCTAAGTGAGATCCCTGTGCTGAACCTCCTCAACCCAGGAGACAGAGAAAGCTCTAATGCTTTGCTGGGATGGTGAAAAATAGTGGCTGTAGACCCAGCAGCAGACAGCACAGTGGGCTTTAGCCCACAGAGCGAGAAAGTTGAGCAACTTTGGGCAGCAGGACTTGTTGGTGGAATGGGGTGTCTCTAGCAGAGGCAGAGCTAAAAGAGCTTTGTAACACTTGCAGGGCAGATGCCATGGGGCCAAGGGCCAGAGAAAGGCCTGCCTCCAGGCATAATGAGGGGAGGCTGTCCTGACCAAAGGATTGTATCCTGAATGTTCCTGGTACTGTAACCTGTTCCTTCCTTAATAGACCCCGTAATAGTGTCTGTGAGTTCTGTGTGGCCATTGCAGTGGATTACTGAACCCAGAAGAGAAGTAGAGAGTGCCAAGGAGGCACAGCTGGTGTCAGAATAGGTAAAAAAAGATTGGAAGGTGTCAGCATGTCTGACCTCCACCAGGTCAGACATAGGAATCAATCTTGGGCTGTTGATGTTTACCTTTATCCTCTTCTCCTCTTGTAAAGTTAGAGGTCAGACATTACCCCCACAACTTTTTTACAACTCTATTTTAAAACATAAGTGATCAAAATAATTTCATATTGTGGTATGTACCATGAAAAAAATAAAATAGTGAAGTGATATAGAACAATCACTTATTATTACACTTGGGGGGAATGTAAGGGTACTACAATTATATGGGAGGGTAACAGTTGTGATGAGACTTGAAGAGTGAAAGAGAACCAGCACAGAAAATCTGGGGAAGAACATCCCAATCTAGAAGAACAAGTACAAAAGCTCTGAGGCAGAAAAGATCTCAGCTCATTCAGAAACAGCAAAGGGGCCAGGTCTGGTTAGACTGTGGATAAAAGGTAACGTGGCAGGAGATGAGGTTTGCAATGCAATAGTAAGGACCATGGCATAGTTTTTATTTTAGGTACAAGCCAAAGTCATCAATCAAGGGTTTCAAGCACAACTTGATTCACGTATTAAAATGTTACTGTAACAGCTGTGTAGCTGCTATTTGAAGTTTGCTATTACAATGTTCAGGCAATGGGTAACAGTGAGTTAGCTTTAGTTAGTGGTAGCAAGTAAGATGGAAGAAATGAATAAATTCAATATATGGAAAAATCAGGATTTACTAATGGCATTGGATGGGGGCGTCAGGAATAGAAAAAGAACAGAATCCAAGACAATGCTTACTTTTTTTTTTTTAAGTCAACAGTGAGGCCATTTATTGAGATGGGGAAGGTTGCTGGGTTAAGAACAGGTTTGGTAGGTTAAAGAAAAACAAAAGAATAGGCCAAGTTGATCATAAGCAACATTTAAACAAATCTGATAATATTCTTCCCTTTCTGTAAGCAATTCTTTGAATTTTTAAATACATTAAACAGACATTAAAGCTGGATAGTTTTACATATGTTTTGTCTAGACAGGGATTATCTGACAGTCAAACTGTCTTACAAAGCTTCTAAAAACAAAACAAAACAATTCTTTCTTCAGAAAAATTAAGTGGAATTCCAAAATGTGAAATATTCTGGTTCAATCAGGGTCGGCAGCCTGCAGCCAACCTGTTCCAAAACGGCCCATGGGGCACTTTCCTGGAATATCTGAGGTTTCCTAGTGGATAGTCTGGAATTGATCCAGGTTGGTCCTCATGAGCCAAATGGAAGGTGAAAATAGAACATTAAGTAGGCAAAGAAGAGTGGAGTGATGTGGATTTAGCCTCAAATTAGAAACTGACTGCTCTTTTAATTTGACTACACTGGACTATTTCCTTCTTCAGACATCACACTTGGAACTTCAAGGCAGAACAGCAATAAAACTCAAAATCATGGGAATGTAGTGGTAGTGAATGGAGGCATAATAAAGGAAAAATGTTTTATTTTTTTAAACATGTATGCATATTTGTTGTAATGTGTCGTCGAGTCAGACCTGACTCATAGCAACCCCTCCTTGGTTTCTGAGGCAGTATCACTACGGAAGTAGATTGCCCAACCTTCCTTCTGAGGAGTGGCTGGTGGGTTTGAACCGCCAGCCTTCTGATTAGCAGTCAAATGTCTTAGGCACTACGCTACCAGAGCTCCTGTGTGTATAGTAGTAAGGGCCATATTAATAAATAAGTTTTATAAAAGTTTACTTACAGCCTTTGAGAAGGAAAAGGAAGTATTCAGAGAGTTCAAGTAATAAGACAAATGTGGTCTATACCCTAGACCAAGAATAGATTTAGCTAAAGATAATCTTACATATGACTTGTGCTACAAAATTAGCCACACACATTACAGAAGGACAGAAGACAGAATTGGAGGAACTTCTCAGAGACAACCAAACACCCTGAGAGAGAGAGAAAATCACTGGGACTGCTGACTGGGGACCATAGTCTCGGGGGACATCATGCTCAATTGGCACAACATAGTACATAAAAATCTTGTTCCATAACCTACTTTGGTGAGTAGCAACTGGGTTCTTAAAAGCTTTTGAGCAGCCGTCTAAGATGCTGCCATTAGTCTCCTCTCATCTGAAGCAAAGAAGGGTGAAGAAAATCAAAGGCATATGGAAACAATTAGTCCAAGGATATGATGGACCTCTAGACCAGGAGGACTAGATAGTGCCCAGCTATCAAAGCCAACCACTTGAGAAGGTATCAAAACTGGAGATCCTGGATAGAGTGGGAGGAAAAATGTGGAACAAAATTCAAAAACACAAAAATGACCAGAATTACTGGTCGAATGGTGTCTGGTGGAACCCTCTAGACTATGGTCCTGGGTTACCCTTCGGGCTTAGAATTGGACTCACCCCCAAGGATTGGCTCTCAGCCCAACAGTAGAAAGATCTACATGCAGAATACCTACTCTAGGGAGATACATCCCTTAGAGCAATCGGCCATGGGGCACCACAGGGGCAGAGTCACATGGAGGAAAAGCTGGACAGATAGAAATGTATAGTTAAGAAGGGCACAGGAGGGGGTAACCACAGGGAAGAGAGAAAAAGAGAGTTTGTTCTGGTCAGGGATGGTAACTGGGGTGTGAAATCAAATGTACATGAACTGTTGAATGTAAAACAAATTTCACTCTGTAAATTTGCACCCAACTGACAATAAAATTAAAAAAACAAAACAAAACAAGAGGATTGTGGTTAATAGATCTTAGAGACTAGTTTATTAAAAATAATTTTACCAAGGGAGCAATCCAAGCCAGGACTACCCTTCCATTCAATTAACAGTAATAAAAGATTTTAAATATATTCAAAGTAGTTGTCTTGGACAGCAAATCAATACCATATTCTACAGTTAAAAACGTCATGTTTCTCTCTTTCTCTCACTGCCGTCAAGCTGATTCTGACTCACAGTGACCCCTCCTTGGGTTTCTGAGGCAGTATCTCTACCACCTAGATTGCCCAGTCTTCCTTCTGAGGAGTGGCTGGTGAGTTTGAACCACTAGTCTTCTGGTTAGCAGTCAAATGCCTTAGGTACTATGCCACCAGAGCTCCCAAATAGAGTCCCAATGGGATTCTATAGGAATAATTTATTGGTATACAGCAAAATGATGCCAGCAACTTTGGTTTTGAGCTGCTATAAGATTTAACTATTTTATAGTGAGTATATTACAAGAAACAGTAGAAAGCAAATGCTACAACAACAATCTGACTAAACTATTGTCTTTTGTCACTGTTTGCAGACCTGTACTTTCACTGCATTGAAAATTTATTTTTTTTCTTTGATCTGGAAGAGATACTTTTTCTCATGAAGCCACCAACATTAATACACATTGAGTGGTAGTTGTTTGATGGCCTGGTTTTATGTCTATTCATTGTGGGCCTCCGCTGTAGTTTTGCTGAGCAAATAATCTAAGAAGCTGAACTATATGAAGAACATGGTGTCAGGATTGGAGGAAGGCTCATTAACAACCTGAGATATGCAGATGACACAACTCTGCTTGCTGAAAGTGAGGATGACTTGCAGCACTTACTGATGAAGATTAAAGAATACAGTCTGCAATATAATGAAATATAATGAAAGCAAATATCCTCACAACTGGACCAATAAGCAGCATCACGGTAACTGTAGAAAAGATTGAAGTTGTCAAAGACTTCATATTACTTGGTCCTACAGTCAACACCAATGGAAGCAACAGTCAAGACACCAAAAGACGTACTACATTGGGCAATTCTGTTGCAAAACACCTCTTTCAAGTGCTGAAGAGCAAAGACATCTCCTTGAAAACTAAGATGCACCTAACCCAAGCCATGGTATATTCAATCGCCTCATATGCACATGAGAGCTGGACAATGAATAAGGAAGACTGAAGGGTTGATGCTTTTGAGCTGTGGTATTGGTGAAGAATGGTGAAAGTACCATGGACTGCTAAAAGAACTAACAAATCTCTCCCAGAGGAAACGCAGCTAGAATGCTCCCTGGAAGCGAGAATGGCCAGACTTTGTTTCACCTACTTTGGTCATGTTGTCAAAAGGGACCATTCTCTTGAGAAGGATGCCATGCTTGGTAAAGTGGAGGGTCATCAAAAAAGGTGAAGGCCCTCAACAAGATGGATTGAGAGGGTGGCTGCAGTGATGGGCTGAAGTATAGCAGTGATTGTGAGGCTGGCACAGGACCAGGCAGTGTTTCGTTCTGTTGTACATAAGGTCGGTATGAATCAGAGATGACTCGATGGCACATAACTGCAACATAATGGGCCATGTCTTCTAGATATGCTGAAGAATTGAAAGGGTTTGCCAAAACCCAAACCACCTTGAATTGAACCAATATGAATGAAGAGTTTCACCATTCTAATTTTTGGTAAGTTACCAAATATAGAGCACAGCAAAATATTACTTCTATTATTAATGTGAGTTTTTAACCACTCAAAATTCACTACTGGAGTAGAAGAAGTAGCTTTAAACTTTACAATTTGGTATAATTTATATTAATAAATTATTGCAGATTCAAGCAAAATATTTTTCAGACAAACTAATGTTTACAAGGTCAGCTTTTAAAATGAAGCTGGGAGCGTAAGATTTGACAAAGTCACATAAAAAGTTTACATGTTGTTGTTGTTTACATAGTTTTCAATATATTTAGAGTAACATTAAATGCTCCAATTATGAAAACTACTCTGTGTACTATTTTCTTTCCACTAAACAGCAATATAAGAGTTAATGCTTTACCTTTTTTTTCAAGACTTAAGAAACTAATGACTTTATCTCACCTGTCTCGCAGTAGGGTTCACCATCCTCCAGGTGAAAAACATTATTACGAATGGGTTTTCCACAGGCTACACACACAAAACAGGAAACATGCCAAGTTTGTTTCAAAGCATTGATGACTTCCTGGAACAGAAAGGTAATTGGATGTCAAAAAAAGATGACAATAAACATATACATGCTTATTTTAATAGCTGTACTAATATAAACTTGTAAAACTCACCCAAAGTAGACATACATGCTTTTTCTTTGACTTTTTACTCTAAGTAACAGGAGGATACTTACTTAAGGACAGACTCACAAATCACTTCAATCAATTCACTATAATATGTATATTTATCACAAACACACATCAATAAATTTATTTAAGAAATGATTGCTATGTTACTTAAACATTATATATGTGGTGAATAAAGCAAGAATTTCATAAATGCTTGCTGCAACATATTCTGCTTTCTTTCACAGGATGTCAGGAAACATTATAAAGGCTTCATAGTATTGTCTTGGAGATGTCATGGGGGAAGGAGAAAGCATTTTAAAACTAAAACAAACCTATACTTTAGTACATCATGGAAGCAATAATGTAACCAATGTAATCCAATCAGTTTTATACATGTTTAGGGTTCTGTAAATCAGCTGTGATCTGAGGACTATACTAAGAGTACACTCAAATGAGTGTCTAAAATTCGAACCATAAAACATGAATTCTAGTCAACACTGGCCCTATGGTTAAATATGTCAAGAATAATACTTTGGGCCAGATTCTAATTAATAAGCTACAGGGAGATGGTTTTGCAAGGAATTATTTCTCTGGCTTGAGAGAGAGAGTTGGAGCCATTAAAAATCATAGTTTTGAAGAGTAGTTAATAAAAGGAAATTTACTCTTTCTATAATATTTATCACACACATACACACACACACACACAGAGGATAGTATACACAAAATATGGCTACAATTTTGCAAATGAATTACTTACTGTGGTAGATTGAATTGTGTTTTCCAAAAATAGGTACAATCATGCATTCTGTAATGTCCACAATATGTTCTGTGAAATGGGACATTATGTGATTTGAGTGTTGTGCAAACACCATATCACCAGGTCCTGCTTTTTCTTTAAGCATCCTGAACAAGCTTTGTGCCTTAGCAATGACTGTCAACATACTGAGAGAGATTTGCTTTTGTGTTTGGTACTCAATCCACTTCAGTACACCATATTTGACATAGGTTCCTCTCACATTATCATAAGCCTTATAGCTTTTAGTGGAACTTATCATTTAACACCTTGGAGAATCTTTTTTTGGTTTTGAGCATCTTCGTGACTGTTGACTACAACATGCTTAAATAGTGAGTCATAGTATTCACTGATATTCTACTTTTCTCTTGTTTAGTAACTGTTTCTTTCACTTCCAAACTGATATTTCTCCTTTGCCTTGTGCTGCTGCTATTATGAGTACTGGTTTTTCTGTGTTTGGGAGCCATGATGGACTTCATGGTAATATTTTCAAAAGAAAATTTAACAGAGAGGTAACACTACAATACTCAAGTGATGCACGACACTTGAGATTGGATGCTGCTACCTACAGCAAAGCATATACTTTGTATAGTAAACTTTTTATATAGAAAGTACAGTACAATATAAACATTTGCCAGTAACACAGGTATTTATTATGACAATCAAGATGCAAGTATTATAGGCTATATATGTACTCTACTATTACATACCTGGGAGCTCTGGTGGCGCAGTGCCTAAGGCACTTGACTGCTAACCAGAAGGTTGGCAGTTCAAACCCACCAGCCACTCCTCGGAAGGAAGGTTGGAAAATCTACTTCCATAGAGATACTGCCTCAGAAACCCAAGGAGGGGTTGCTATGAGTCAGAGATGACTCGACAGCACATAGCATCAACAACAACATTACATACCTGCAATACAATTACTTTGTACATAAGAGACATAAGATACTCATGTTGCATGCATAAACTGTATTTGGTACGTCCCATTCTCTGATGAGACCGGGCAATCTACTTCTGTAGAGATACTGCCTTGGCAACCCAAGGAGAGGTGGCTATGAGTCGGGACTGACTCGATGGCAGTAGTAATCATAACCATATGAGATCATGGATACATATGTGATCAGACATTGCCTGAACACATCCTGTGTGGTACGTGGCTGCATTGAAGTCCTAGCTCCTATACCTGTGGATGAGATCCTGTTTGGAAATAGGGCTTTCATTTGTTATGTTAATCAGGTTATACCAGAGTAGGGTGGGTACTAAATCTAATAACATCTGAGTTATAAAAAGAGTAGAATAGATACATAGGGGGGAGATGCCATATGAAGACAGATATACAAGGCAGATACATCTGTGAACCCAGGAACTTTAAGGACTGCTGGCAGCTAATAGAAGCTGCAAAAGACTATTTAAAAAACACTCAGCCCACAGGACTTCCCTCTAGACCCATGCTTTGAATTCATATTTGTAGCCTCCTAAATTGTGACAAAGCTCAATTACTATTCTTTAAAACCACCCACTTGTGGTATTTTTTGTTATGGCAGTACTAGTAACTAAGATACTTATAAGGAACAAACTAGACTGCCACTATGTCACCTAGAATCTACTCTTTTCTGTGGGATGCACAGTCCAGTTTTTTGAGGGAGATAGGCACTGGGTACCCTTCCTGATGACACCTTTAACCACGCATAGTTCCTTCCCACCCCCACATGGCCTGGCAAACTAAAGGGTGATTGTTCTCAGGAGTATGGTGAGCACAGAGTCCTAAAAGTTCATTTATTCAACACACACTTACTGAGTTCCTGCTTTGTGCCAAGCCCCATGTTAGGTACTAGGGACACAATGGTCACCAAAACAAGCCTAATTCTCTCAGGGTGACCCACTAATACCCTTGCCTTATTGCTTCATCGTACCCCAGAGAACTTCTGAGTATTAAGGTCTGTATCTCAGATTCTAAGGGGTCTTTCCAAAATTGAGCACAAGTGTTGGGGAATTAATATTCCTTGGGAATATTAGGACTGATAGGAAATGGTGTGTAAATACTCCTTGGGGGTATAATTCTGAGGCTATAGAAACCCACACCCATTTTTTACTTTCTCCATGGGAGAAACAATATCACTAATATCACATGCAAGTAAGATATTACTGAAGATAATTCAGAAACGTTTGCAGCAGTATAT